GCATCCATGACAACTTTGATGATTATTTTTGCTAGTCTGGAGAACCCAGGACTTCACACATGCTAGGTCAGTGTTCTATGTATCTACCTCCCTGGCACCACGTTGATGGGAGTTGAAGAGTTGTAAACTAGCTCATGAAGGAGGCAAGATCTGTGGAGCCGCTAGGTCTCTCAGTTGTTTGGATTCAGGAGTTCAAGGTGACCCTTGGATCAAAAAAAATCAAGAAACTGCTACCACCAACAGGTATTAGGGACAGCAGTATAGCAAGTTTGGCAAGTCACAAATAAAGACCTCTAAAGCAATGTGCACTGGAATGCAGCAGAGGCTGGCACTCATTTGTAAAAACCTTATGCTTTGCTGGCCATTCATTCATTAGATCCATCAGGGGCTCAGAAGGGGCCTGCTGTCCTAAGTTGGATCTCTGCATCCACAGGGAAGAAAATTCACTCCATGTTGTTTGGACTCTATAAAGTAGTTCTAAGGTTGGCCCTCTATGGTTCATGTGATCCCCAACCATAAAAATGACTTTCAGCGCTACTTCACAATTGTAAAAGTTTTCCTCTGACCTCCACATATCACTATGGCGTGTACATGTGGACACATTCACAATCTTAATTAAGGCTCAAAAAGACTTATGTAGCCGGGCGTTGGTGGCGCACACCTTTAATCCCAGCACTCAGGAGGCAGAGGCAGGCGGATTTCAGTGAGTTCAAGGCCAGCCTGGTCTCCAGAGCGAGTGCCAGGATAGGCTCCAAAGCTACACAGAGAAACCCTGTCTCGAAATACCAAAAAGACTTACGTAAGCCAAGTGGTGGTGGTGGTGGTACTCGCCTTTAATCCCAGCACTTGGGAGGCAGATGGAGTTCAAGACCAGCCTGGTCTACAAGAGCTAGCTCCAGGACAAGCTCCAAAGCTACACAGGGAAACCCTCTAGCAAAAAACCAAAAAACTTAATGTAGGTGACTGCTTGCCCACATGTATGTATCATATGTGCAGCACCCCACAGTTGACCCAAATCCAGGACTTCTGCAATACCAAGCACTCAGTAACTCCAGCTCCTAGAGAACTACCCACCCATACAAACCAGAAGAGCAGTTTGAAAGGCTCTATATTTTTATTACAGGACAAAACCATTCCCAGCTTAAGCATGAACAAGTCTCCCGATTAACAATGTTGAACTCCATCTGGCAGCATACATGGTATTGATCATGATTCAGTACAAACTCTCAAGTCCTGACATTGATTGTATGAATCCTTACAGGCCCAGCTTGGTTCTCCTCCAGTGTCTTCTCTTTGAGTTGTACATGCATAGAATGAAGTCACAAGTTACAAGGTGGAAGGAATGGTAACAAATGGTCATATTTACCAAATTTGGCCTTTTAGAGAATAGGATAAGGAGCTTACTAGAGAGTTCCAGGACAGCCAGGCCTACACAGCAATACCATCTCCAGTATAA